GCTAAGACGAAGCTTTGATTAGATAGCCAAACAGGCAGAATCAATTCCTGGCAGTTTTTACCCACCATAATTTCATAGATCATATAGGAAAGAAGGAAGGACTTCATACGTTTACAACTTCACCAATCTCAAGAACAGATTTATTAATGATGCTGTTTTGGTTGCCTAAGAACTGCTACTCATCAGTGCAATTTCATGTTCAACCTTCTAAAGTCCAAATTCCTGCTGCCTCTGAAATGCCACAATGCCAGATCACCACAACTCAGTCTTCCAGAAGTCTTCATGGCATACCTTAATTCACTGCCAGCCTGTTCGATGAGAGGTTGTAGAGGTCCTGCATATTTTGATGTAACAAGTTGATACAAGAGAAATGTAAGACTGGAACCTTCTATGTAACTTTTTACAGTCACCATATGGTTCAAGAACACTAGGAAGTTTTCTACACACTGTGATATATATACAAGTCACAAAGTATCTAGTCCGACAGCAAAGGCAGAGCCTTACGTCTCCAGGAGGTCTTCCGTATTTTAACACATGTCCTCATTACTCAAAAAAATGTAACTCTTGTATGGCGACTTCCTAGCAATCCCAGGGAAGCACCCATACTTCTGTGTTCTCAGCTAGGCTGTTACAGGCAGTTCTTGCAATAAATAACCTGGTGCAGTCAGAGCTGGATCAGCCACAAAGCGCCAGATGGCCTAGAGGCACCGGGACTCAGAAATGAGGACATCCAAGAAGTTCCCATGTTAATGCAGAAGAGTGAGCTATTATGGCTGGAGTCAAGGTGTTTCACAAGCATCTTTACACCTACATCTTAGGGTAAAGTTACCCTTAGATCAGCATGTAAAGAATGATGGAGTCACTAGTGCTTGTACATAAATGTTTACAAGTGTGGAAGAGCAGCATCTAACACAAATACTACAGACCATTGTCTCTAGCATTCTACCCAAGACGCACATTGTTGAAAAGTTGCTAAGAATCCGCATTCCATGCAGCTTGGAAGTTATTTGTAACTGATGGGAGAGGGAAGGGTGATAAGGATGACTGACTGACTCATGTATAAGCCGTGAAACATAAGTTATCTGCCCTTATGCTTGGTGTTTGCACAGTCATAAATTAATGTCTTATTGAGTTATGAATTACTGCATTCAATTAATAAATTAATTTGGTTAAATTAATATTTTAGAAGGTTATCTGCATGTTATTTTGACATGTCATGTAAAGGCACACCTTGAAACATTGCAGATTCAGCTCCAGACCGCTGCAGTAAAGCAAGTATCACCATACAGCGGGTCCACTTAGTGTGTAAATGGCATGCTGTCTGAACCATGATGTATTGTAAATGCCCTAATTAAGAATGCTTCAGTACAAAAAAATGCTAAACGCCTTCTGAGCCTATTGGAAAAGTGGCACTGATGGACTTGTGCTACACAGGACTGCCACAAGCCCGCGGAGCACGCTGAAGGGAGCACAGTGGAGCAGGACATGCCCGTGCCTGAGAATCAACGACTGAGGTGAGTGAAAATGTTGGCTCCCTCTTCCATCATTCAGCCCATTCGTTTATTCACGTAACAAACATTTGTTGAGCACTCTTTCAGGGGCTAGGGGCACGGTGGTAAAAAGGATGGACACCTCCTTCTAGGAGATTTGTTTTGTGTAAAGTCTACATGGCAGATTGGTAGATGTGATAATTCCATGTCCATCCTTTTGAGAGTAAAAAATAATAAATGTATGTGCCTTAACAAGCAGAGCTATCCAATCATCTACACTTACCAACTATTTCCCCTGATGTTTTGAAGTTATGCCTCCTGAAGATGTCTATCTTGGACCTACTTACATCTACTTAGATGTCTAATAGGCATCTTAAAACTAAAACATGGCCAAAACTCCATTCCAGGGTATTTTGCTTTCTAGTTCTTCTTGCTACATTACTCCCAAGATAAATGCATGGCTTGCTATCACACTTCTTTAAATCTCTAAACAAACATCACCTCCTACAGGAAGCCTTTCAGATCAGCCTATTTATATAGCACCATTCCTACCCTCCTGCCCAGATTGTATTCCCTATCCTCTTACCTGAGTTTCTACTTCTCCAAGACACTTATCACCAACTGACTTATTACATGTATCTGCTTACTGTCTGTCTCCCCAGCTAGAATACAGGATCCGTGAAGGCGGTCTTTGTTTCCTTCTGTCTCAGGGCATAGAGCAGTGTCTGGAAAGAGGTTGGAACTCAATCAACATTTGTCAAGTCAGAGACCGGATCTGTAAGTCACCTCTTCAAGGGCTCTATCCTTCTATCTCTCCGTCCACCTAGTTCCTGTGCCGCACACCACAGTAATTTGGGATCAGAATGGCGATTTTCGAGAGTAGTACAGAATAAGATTTTGGAATCACGGAAGTCCAACCTCGCAGTTCTAAGAGACTAGACAAGCTAATGCAGTCCCACTTCCCATTTTCTAGAGAGTGTGGCTTAGAGGGAAAAAGTGCGTTGACTGAGGCGAACACCTAAGAAGAGGCAGAAGCTCTGTGAGAGCCCAGGCCTCGAGCCTCTTCAGCCAGACACCTCCAACTGACCCTGAGGCTTTGCTTTTCCTTGGCTGCCCACAGCAGCCTAATCCTTCCTGGCATCATTTTTAAAAATGCCTCTGATAAAGATTACACACAGATAGAACTAGGAAAGAAGGACTGATTTTATAAATAAACCATTCGCATAGATATAATTTGATGGGGGGAAAAAGGAAAACATTTCTGGACACCTAACCTAAAACTTAATTTTATTTGCAAAATACTTAGTTTAAAACAAGGCATCATTTTAGAATACGGAAAAACTTAAATTTAAAATAGCATAAAAACAGTTATATTTTCAGAAATGAAAAAAAATCTGTGGTGGTAGGTCCACGAGAAATAATTATATAAATAAAGCAAAAAGCCTAGGAAAATAAATCAATTAAGGTATAATTTCATCCTGATGGTATAGATGCTATCACAGGTAAAATGAATTTAGTGTAAACACAGGAAATGATGTAAGGGTTTTCTATCAAAAGACAACACGGAAAGGAGGTTAAGTACCATGAGAGGCAGTAGACACAGTGCTTGCAACGTACTCTGCTGTTCAGACTTGCATCTAACATCCCTCTTAACAGGGAAAAGAACTTAACGTGTCATTGAACTTCTACAGGCCTCAACTTGTTGTCTGCAAAATAGAATTGAATAACTGTGGCCTATAATTGTTGTAAGAATCAAAATAGACCATAAATACAAATGATTTATACACTGTGGCATAGAATTCAAAATATTGTAGAATGGCACTAGTAAAGTTTTACTAACCCTAGTATATCATGAAAAATAATTTCTAAAAACTTTTTTAAATGTTTAACAAAAAATAATCTAAAATGCATCAAAATCATTTTTGTTGTTGGCCATTTGCTGAGATTTCCTAACCCTGGGAGTACTGGATGAATGTGGATGTTCCCTTAGCCCTAGCAACTCCGCACACTGCACGAACCGAAGCGGTCTGCTGCGCAGTCCGGCGGGAACCACACACTCTTTGTCCAAAACAATGAGAATGTCGGCATGTGGACGTGTCTACTGCCAATGCCAACCCTGTGCACCTCAAGACACTTTTTTTACCATGAAGATTTATGAAAGAACATGGCATCCACTTCCTGATTACCTCAAGGCCCCGAGTGGAGAGCAGGGTGAACAAGCAGACTGGTAGAAGGGGACAGAGAGGTCTCAGAGACGGATCACACAGATCGCACCTGGCTGCTGCTGCACGGGTCCAGGACTACGCCATGTGGGAACCCACGGGTGCCAGGTTGCGGTCGCTCACCTGCACCAGTTTTTCTTGAGCGCCACCCTTGCCAAATGGGCATTACATCCTACATGTGCTTTCATGCATGACACTTCAATGTTCTCTGAGGGCCTACCCTGGGCTAGCCTCAGGGCCAGAGACTGAGAAAGCTAACAGCACTCATGAGAACATTATCTTCAGCAAAGCCAAAGTCCTTTGAAGCAATCATAGAAACTTAGAAGAAATGCAGTTACCGATTCACTCTAAGTGTGACTACCAGTTCATTCCTGAAATAGAAAGTGTGTGTGTGTGTGTGTACTGGGAAGAGATGGGCAGCTTGGGGGTTGGCAGCAGGAAGAGAGAAAGGAAGAAGGAAGGGCAAATAGAGCTAAAATTCTTACACTCTGAAAAAGGGTGTTTTGCTCAATCCTCCAGACTTCGGATTTCTAGGCTGGTGCAATGGGCCTCTCTGAACAATCAGTGACTTCGAGTTCTCATATACAGACCATCATATATTTACTCGGGTTGAGCTATTTAACTACATATGCTCTAATTTTTACTCCTACAGAATATACTTTTAACTTTTTATTCTCAGGGTTAAAAGACAACTCTTTCTTCACAATTACATGTTTATATATTGATATATTACATTTGTTTAAGATTTAATTAATTTATTTTTAGATAGAAGGGAAGGGAAAGAGAGAGGGAGAGAAACATCAATGTGTGGTTGCCTCTTGCGCACCCCGCACTGGAGACCTGGCCTGCAACCCAGGCATGTGCCCTGACTGGGAATCGAACTAGTGACCCTTTGGTTCGCAGGCCCATGCTGAATCCACTAAGCTACACCAGCCAGGACTGATGTATTACACTTTTACCCAGTTACCTACCATGTAAGGAAGTAAGAGATTTAAAATAGAAGCATTGGAATGGCATAACACAAATATTTCCCTGACTTCGGTACCATGTCAAAGTAGAAATTCTTGGGTCATTCCTTATTAATTAAATGCCCACAACTTATATATGTCACCTCCCAGAGCTAGGGGGAAAATGCAAAAACTTTTCCTAGAAAATCCTTCTTTCCAAGATTGGGGTGATTTTGAGCCACAAACTTTAAAATAAAGTCCTCTTCCTCTCCTCTGATTAATACTTCTAAACAATGGACAGGAACATGCACTTCACAAATCCCACCTGGGCATAACCTTACCTGCATCTCTTGACAAAAGGAAGCCAGTGGCCCGAAGAGAATCTGACATTGCTCGTCAGCGGTGTATGTCATCCCCGGCAACTTGGAGGGGACCATGACGGAGTTGACACTCTGGGGATTTGTCTGCAGCAGGCAGTTACTGGCCTTTGACCTGGCAATACGCAGATACATGCGAAATTTTGAATTTAGTGTAAAAAGCTATCACTAGCATGCAACAGGAAATATTTCATAACATGAAAAATATGTTATTTATAAGCATTTTTATTTAATGTTATAGGAATTATTCTATATATGAGAATCATTTATTTATAATTCTTTAAGATAATCCTAATAGTAATAATAGTAATCTTCAAGCTAATAGAACTTTTTGGTTTATAAAGGTTTTTCATATGGATTAACTCAGCTAATCTACATAACTGTGAGGGGACTTACTATTTTACACATGTATAAGATGAAAAAAACTCAGACTCAGAAATTAAACATATGAAGGTAAAAAATCAACTGCATTCAGGGATTTAAAGTATCTATGGAAAGCATTCTCTAGTGTTTATTCATTGTAAGAATATGTACTCGACATTGTAGCACAATTCCCACTTATGAGGTGACATTTAATTTTATCACAGTTCTGATTCGTGTGCAGGCAGGCCGACCACGTCACACACGCTCCCCAGAAACTCATCAGGCCCACAGAGGGCTGCTGCCCCAGGGAGGCGCTGCCCTCGCAGGACCGGCAGGTGCTGCTGGCCACGCTGTCCCCATGGAGAGAGGGCAGAGAATAGATTGTATGTCTTTCAGAAAGCGCTGTGGTAACATAATAAATGTTTTGTTTTAGTACATTTTAATATTCATTTAGCAGAAAAATGGGCTTTCCAACTTAAATGGTATGTAAAAATGAATGAAGTGTAGCTATGCCGTGAAAGTAGCAAGCTTGGTGGGTGTACGTCTCTTACTTAGACTTTTGGGCACTTCAAGCAACTCTCTCCTTCTCACTCACTCCTCCCACCAGCCACTCCTTCTATGGCCAAAGGAATAACTAAGGAACACAGGCTTTAAAATGAAAAGTAAAACAATAATGTTTTGCATTGCTTCTTTCCAACCAGGCAGAAGCTAAGTGTTATTGCTGTTGAAGGTGGAAAGGAAGAGAATGGAGGATTATTTGCAATGATGAAAACTACGCAGTAATGAAAAAAGAGCCAGAACTTAGAAGTGTCACAATGAAAAGGCGGAGCTTTTGTCAAAGAGGTTCTTCATAATGACAAAAGACGTGCTGAGTGATGAGCAACAAGAATGGTTGCGCTGCAAAATTCTAAAGAGGCAGTTAGAGACTGGGATTTTTAAAACCCTTAATATTTTTCAACATCACAAATCATCTTGCCCAAGTTTTAAATGTGCAGATGTGGAAACTCAGAAGCAGATGGGTTACTATGGCCCAGTTCACATAGTGAGTCCGTGGAAAAGCCCAAAATGGAACCCAGAGCCTTGATGCCCCACTGGGCATCCTTCCGCTCAGCCACACCACCTGCGAGGGTTGGCTGAGGAAGTGGGGGTGCAGACACTCATGACCCAGCAACAGGAGGTGAACTCAGTACCTTAGAAATCTCTCCAAATCTTCCTTGCTACATTGGGACCAGGAAACATCACCGAGATTTTGTCCTTTAATCCATTCACCAGACATGATATGAAGACCATCTGCACACGACGGGTGGTCATTGTCATGACTGATGCCCATGCTGATTCAAAACAGAGTTAAAGTGTTAGTTACATCAGAAAGTGTTTTTCAGCTTTTTATAACTGCAATTAAATAACAGCTGAATATTTAATGAAAGAGGAATCAGTTTTAAAGGTCAAAATAAAATGCGATTTCAGATTGCTTTATTTTAAAATTTTTATCAAGATGAAAGGTGAATATTTTTATTTATGAAAAACATTTTCCCAATCTAGTAATGTGTTTAGTTCACCTATATCAAAATGATCTACAGATAGAGTTTTCACCCAGTAGTGTGTGAACCACATAGAAATAGTAAGTTTCTATTTGACCACATAAGATTCTTGCTCTTGAATGTAGATTCTTTACTCATACATTAGGTCAAATACAAAACCACATTAAATTATTTTTTCCCCATGTGGTGCATCGGACCGCAGTCTTCCACTCATCAGATGACATAAACTGTCCCCGGGAAGCCTTCCCACTCACGGCCACCTTTATTTTTCTATCGCATCCTGAATCTGTTCAGTTGGAATGCCATTCTAAAGACTGGACTTCAGATGCACTGAAAGAGTGTCTACAGACCGTGCTCACTGTTTTCTCTTCCAAACCTCCGCTTGCCCTTGTCCTCTCACTCTCCTCTTCATGCCTTCACCAGCCACCCATTCTGCCAATTCAAGGATCTTCAGGTCCTCCGCTAGTCCTTCCTTTCTCAAAGGATCCCCCGGGCTCTTTTACATACTAAGGGTTAGGAGCAGGTCCTGCCAATTCTACTTCACCAGTATTTCGCTCAACTGTCACCTCTTCTTAACTCCTTCGGTTACTGTTGAAGAGAACCACAGAATATTTCGTTTTGACAACTCCTGTGGCCTTCTAACTGGGTTCTGCACCTCCAGTCTTGACCAGCATCGTCCCTGCCCTCCCTCCCCTGCCCGAGGAGGTCTGCTGAAGACTCGACTGGACAGCCGCCCCTCTGCTTTCCCGTGACCCGCAGGGCACCTTCCAGCTCCTTGGCACGGTGCACGGCATCTTCACCTTCTCCTAAGACAGCACTTTCTTTCCAGCAATACTGAAGCGCTTCCAGTTTCCCAACTGTCACATTGTTTCTCATTCTCTTGTAATCACTAGTTACTTAGCATTTTCTATGTGTCACACATCACACAGAGGAACTTGAAAGTTGGAGTTAAACAGTTCTGTGATATAGGAACGACCCTAGCACCCACTGGGCTGGTGAGAAGTGACCCTCCCAAGACCATGCAGTGTGAAAGTGGAAAGTGGCAGTGCTGGAGCCGAGGTGGCTGGCTCTAGAGTCACGTGACTGACCATTACACACTGGACATCTGTGAATTCCATTCCAGCCCCTGCTCTGTCCAAAGCACCCTTCCTTCAACATCTTCGCCAAGAGAAATGCTATGGAATCCTCACAGAAACCACCCTGAGGAGGTTCACTAACCCCCACCACCCCTATGTGGACTGCCTCTTTTTCCCACCATGAGAGCCTGCAAACAGCATTGTTAGGGTGTTTTCTACAATGTATTAATATTATATATTTTTATTTTTGCCTTTTTCTGCCATTTCTTGAGGACAGGGACTTACTCATCTCCCTGAGGTCCTGACATATTGGGATCATACCCTATAAACCACGCTTAAATGCCAAGCCAAGTCACCAGGTAGAGTCACTTCTATTTCAGAAAGAAATTCGTATAACCTCTTATGAACTCTCGTAATCAGGCCATTAAAATAACTGTGAGCGAGGGTTAGTAACGAAGGAGCAGAAAGAGGGACGTTTGGCCTCCTACGTGCGAAGTTGGAGAGGACGGCAGGAGAGTCAGGTGCTCCCTTCTCTCACCGCGCAGTGACCTGCACAATGAACAAAATAGTCCCTCATAACAAAGAGCCGTGAGTAACAAGAAGAATGTAGTGTACTCTAAAACACTGATCAAAGAACGATTACAGAAGCTGCTAAGGAAAACCACAAGTTGAATGCATTTCCTCAAATAAAAATAAAACTTCTCAAGACTATCGAACTACATTTTCATTAAGATAAATTAAAATTTTAAATCAAAATGATTATATTTAATATGTTTGAAAGGAGAAAATTATATAGAGGGGATTTATTAATGCACAAGAGTAGTAAGTAACAACTTTGCTGTGTCCCCTAGCTTTGAAAACTATGAAAATTATGGTCTAAGTAAAACTATAAATACTTTACTGAATATTTTTCACTTTTAGTGTTAGAAAAATTTAGCTATAAGATGAATCATGCTTATCTTTCCTAGTCTAATGAATGCCTTTAAATGGGGCCTATATGCACACACATTAACAGAATGACTGACAGAAAGAATAAGAAAGTAGGTGTTTTCATACATTGAAGATAAAGAGGAAAAATGAGAGATGGCATCAGAAGGTATGGACCAGTTCAGTTTCTAAGGGCAGAATGGAAAACCCTGGAGTTAGAAAGAGATTTGAATGGTGCACCTCCTTACTCAGGTGAACAGAGTCAAATAATAAAGAAATGAATGTGCCTCGGTTTCCTCATCTGTTAAAATGCTTTCCTCACTGGCTGCAGTCTGCACCAGCATGGTGTGAAATGCCTGGCACGGGGCTGGAAGAGGTAGGAGCTCATAGCTGGTCTTTCTATGGGTGCCATAAATCAGAGAATTCTCTACTCTTGTTTTAATTTGTCAAAAAATAAAGCGGTAATATCATTAAAGGCAATCTGGTGCATTTGCTGACTTTGGTGAAAGTTGTGCACTTAAGGAAAACCGAGGATATCATAATGGCAAGAATTTACTTTGTCCAGACGTTAAATTGGAATCAGAAATTGTAAATAGGGCACAGTCTCCCGGGTGGAGGGAGGGGCCTTCCTGCTTTTCTGAGTGCTCAGCTGTGAGGCAGCCCTGCCAGTGGCTGCTTTGCCTCCTGCAGGGTCTCCCCCGAAGCACGGTAGGTCGCTGGGGGCCGCTCCCGCGCCAGGCACTTGCCCCGTGGAACCTGCTCAGCTCCTCCCTCTGCGGCGTGCCCCCTTTCAAACCACACACACAGACTCTGACTCTTGAAAGGCACTCGGTCTCTTTCAGAAATAATAAAACTTCTTAAATAATGAGTCCGTTCGAGAGGAGAGGAGGGATCGCTTCCAAGATTTAGCAATTTGGACACTTTCCCAAAGCAGTGTAATGTGATTTTCTAAATTGGGAATATTACAACTTCTCATCCAGATGAGCATTTTCTTTTTGGGATCATGATTCTCCTGTAAGAAATTAGCTACAGCCACGGAGAGAGACCTGGTGACTCAAGCATTGTTTACCTTTAGCTGAATTTTCCTAGAGCTATTTCACTCGCGACAGAAAAGATCCTTCTGTTGGGGCAAGCTCTCCACCACACATCTGCGACTATCATAGGGGGACCTTGCTTGGGCCTGATTCTACAGATTTGAAATAGAACGATTAATTGGGGGCCTTGATCTGTTCCAGGCACCGTGTAAATCATTCGCAGTGGTGACATCACTTACTCCCCACAAGATTCCCACAGTGTTCCCATTATCATGACTTTAGCTTACAGATGAGGGAGGCACTGGGGCTCCCGGCTCCCTGCGCAGCCTTGACTGAGACCCACGCACTCCGACGGTCAAGCCGGGAGGCCTCCAAACCACTGAACCCGCAGTGTTTCTCTCTCTGGTTCCAAACTCTCGATGGATGCAAGTGATTTATTGTTTTCTGAATAATTGCAAAGGCCTCCTCTCTGTTAGCAGAAACGCGCATGTAGTCCCACGCCGAAGCCGCGGGAGTGGGAAGCGTCCTCGGAGTAAGACATCAGCAGCGCCTCTCGGCTCGCTGTGCCACTGAGCTACATTTTAATAATCTCAGTTTAAATTCATTTTGACAAAGAGCCTTGGGCAAATAAACTCTCCACTAACATCGTACATGGTTGTCAAGTCAACTGAAAAAATATTTTTATCTTATAAAACTTCTCAACTTGTTTAAAAGTGCCTGCCAGGAAGTTTTGTGATATCCTCGGAAAGCTGGAGAAGCATTTGGATTTTGGAGATAGTCCCTTTTGATGTTCAAAGAGTTACAGAAGAGAACATTTATGAATTCACTCACATTTTGGGGATAATTTTTAAAAAATCAGAATTTGTTAACAGCAGTATTTTAAAAGATCATTTTTTTTGTGCTGAACACATTAAACATTTTATCATGATACATAATTTCCCACTAAAAGACACATATTATATGAAAAAATCAATTAAAAGAGAAACTAACCATAACAATATTTAACTGGAAGTGGATTATATTTCCCAAAATGTCACTTAATTTCAGAAAATTCGGTGTCCACATCTGACCCGAAGTAACTCCACTGCTGTGTGCTCATGGAACAAAGCCTAGCATTAAGACATACAAGATATTTTCAATAGTTTTTTTATTTAAAATCATTTCAATTATTTTAATTTGCACGAAACAATTAAATGTGTACCTCTGTGATAATGCAAATCAAAAGGCAATGAGAAGCAAGTCAGCAAAGAGGTAAAAAACTGGAGGTTAAAAAAAGAGTAGAGGTACAAAAAGATTCTCTTTGACTTTGCTGTGCTTTACATGACAGGTTTATCTAGCAATTCAATGAACGAACACTCGTTGGGAACCCACTTTATGCTGGGCATTGTCCTAAAAGTGAGTAGGATCCAGTTTCCACCCTCGAGAAGTTCAGTACCCTCTGGGGTAGGAACTCTCCTTGTCCTCCTGCAGCGAATAAACTCCTGGATCCTGTCACTTCCACACGTCCTGAAACTCTCCCCTCCCCCGCCCCCATGTCTCCCGAAGTCGGCCCAGACCAGCGCAGGTTCTCCCCACTTCCAAGTTGTTGTAAGTCTGCCCCGCTGACCTCCTGCCCCTTAACTCTTTGCCTTGGTTTAATGACTTTAGTTTCTTATTGTAGGAGACTGTTCTGCGTGACGTGGGCCCAGCTCCCACTTGGAGATGCACAGGACCTATGCCCATGGATAGGTTCTCCCATGGGGAATTAAGCCTG